GGATCTCAGAAGAAGAACAAGAAGATGATAGAACAATACCTCAAGGTCTAATAGATATCCCCGGAATTGGTGGAAATCCATCTCTTTATGCAGTAGATGTCAGGGAAAAATTTAAGAATTACTTTGTTTCTGAGACTGGTTCATTACCTTGGCAAGTCGAAATGGTTAGAAGAGGCAGAAAAAACTAGATATATAATAAGATTATAACGATGACTAATTATACAGGGTTGTTTGAGTTTTAAATAAGTGCAATTTATTTTAGGGGTAGTGTATTTCAACCCCTGTTTTTCAAAGAGAATTTTGGAAATATTTTTAATTTTCATATAAATCATAATATAACTTGATAATATGGCAGCATAAGTTGTAGATTAAATTTCGTTGGAATTTGACTTTCGAAAAATCGGTTTGCCAAAAATAAGCTTTTTACGTCAAGCAGTTTAAGCAGAATCGTGGTTAAGAAATTACCCAACTTTTTGGAACACCCTGTATGATTTTTTAAAAAAATTCATAATATGTAAAAAAAAAACAAATAAATTATGCTTGTCCAAGCGTTTTCCCGAAAGACTAACCGTTTTTTAAATAACAAATATTGTAATATTTGAGGGGCGTTTTCACACTCTTGGAATTTGAGATTCGAGAAACCCCTCCTTATCGAACCTCTACACCCCACAGTCAATCCGTTTGCCAAAAATCAGCTTTAAACGTCAAGCAGTTTAAGCAGAATCGTGATTACTCTATGGTCATATTTTATGAAACACCCTGTATACATTTATAAAAAATCTTAAAATATGTAAAACAACAAAATAAAATATACGTGTGTAAGCGTTTTTTCGGAAACTTGACCGTTTTTTAAATAAAAAATATTGTAATATTTGAGGGGTGGTTTCACCCTCTTGGAACTGGCATTTCGAAAAATCCCTTCTTATCGAACCTCTACACCCTAGAATCAACCTGTATGCCAAAATTGAGCTTCTTACGTTGAGTGGTTTGAGCAGGATCGTGATTAATCAGTATGTCAGTCACTTAAGGATTTTATATATTAGTATAGATAGATAACTAATAGTTTTAGGTATATAAAACTATATACAAAAAATTATAGAATTTTACTCAGAATCTCTGCGTAAAATATGTGCTCTCTACATTTAAAAGAAATATTAAATTGGGCATCTCTTAAACTTCTCTAAAATTTGTTCTTTGTAGTCTTTTGTTGTAATTGTTAAAATAAATGAGATAATGAACAAAGAACTTTAGTCTATCCTTCACTCACCCTGTACAACAAATTCGTACTACGTTTATGTACCGCTACCCACTCCATAAACTTGGGAAATAATTAAAATTTCATACCTTTTATTCCGCATTTTTCTTCAATTTCTTCCCAAATATTGTCCCTTCTCAATTGATTATGATAATTGGGATCTCCAATATCATATATCTCTTTATAACTTTGTATAATTAAAATGAACGTTTCATCATCCATGATAAAACAATAATTAAATTACAAGTACTAAACAAACTCAAACGAAACAAAACGGCTCTTGATTAAACGTAACCTAAATGCCAATTAGTAATACATTAATCGTAGAATCCTTCATCCGAAGACACCGAAATAGATTTCGAAAATGACCGAAAACAGAGATAGTTTCCGCAGACCACCGCACTAGGGCACGCGAAGCGCCGAAGAGAATTTCCTCGCTTTGGATTCCAGGTCTGCAACGAACGGCGCTTCGGCGCGCGGTGCAAGCGGTTGCTTCGCTTGAGTCAGCGGACGTGCATTATATAACACAAATTTAATCCGTTGCACGGTTTTTCGCCGCGCTTCGCCGCGCCGCGCTGCGCATAAGTGCGCGATATGCTTTAGAGTAGAATGAAATCTTTCTATGACGCCGTTTGATTGTGGGTGATTTGGGGATATAAAATGTATTTTTATTTTATGTAGCCCTAGGAGTTCGGTTATAAGGGAATTTTTAAATTCAGTGCCATTATCTGAAATTATTTGTTTAGGAATTCCGTGGTGAGAGAAGAATTGTATTAATTTATCAGCTACTTCGGTGCTGTTGGTCGAATTTAGCGAATATGCTTGTGCGTACTTCGAAAAACTATCAACAATGGTAAAGAATTTGCTATGTTCAAGCGTAAACGTATCTACGTGTATTATCTCGAATGGTCTAGACGCTGTGGGTGTTATATTCATTTTTATTTTTACAGGGTGTCTTTCGTATTTACTTTGTTGACATATATCGCATCTATTTATAAATGTTTGAATGGAATTACGTACGTTTGGCCAATAATATTTATCTTTTATTTTTAATAGGGTCTCTTCAATTCCGCGATGATTTGATTTACTAGTGTGGTAGTTTTCTATAATTTCGTCGATATCGTTTTTATCGGTTACATCGATCAATTTTTTCATGCAACGTTTAAATTTGATTGAGGGCCATCGAAAATATGTTTGTAAAGTTGTCGAAAAACGTTCATAGATATCGGGATTTTCAAAATGAACATAATATTGAACATCCGGTACAATATAGCTCTTAAGAAATGAAATTATGTCTTGTTCAAAGTTATTATTTGAAATTTGGACTATAAGTCGTTTTTTCTTTCCGAATAAAATCTTTGTTTTTGTTTTTACGGGAGAATGTAAAACAGATGATATAAATATTTGATTTTGTCCGTAATTTACAGCATAATCAACTATTGGTATACCTACTACAGGGTGTTGCTCTGCGTTAGAATGAACAGTAGCGTCTTCGTCTTGGTTTTCTACATTATCTATGGTTTCGATTTGATTTTCGCGTTCGTCAAGCTGTACTTGCATTGATATATTATCAATATCACGATATTCGGGTTTATTTATTTCCTCTCTAATTAATTGATCTAAATCGATTGGGTCGTTGGGTATTTCTTCGATATTCGTGGGTTCAATAATTGATTGGTTTTCAGTTAAATTTTGATCTGTTTCTTTTACATGAATTTCGACACGAGATAGGGCGTCTGCGTTGGTGTTAAGCTTTCCTTTTTTATATACAATTTTATAGTCGTACTCTTCAAGTTTTATACGCCATCTGAGTAATTTAGAACTTGGATCTTTTAATGACACAAGCCACTGCAAGGGTTTATGGTCAGTTATAATAGTAAATTGTCTACCGAAAAGGAATAGTTTCTTTCGGAATCGTTTAATGTCCGAGATGCGTATGCTATTGGTAAATCTCGACCAATAGGGACTTGAGATAAAATCGCACCTATAGCTACATTACTCGCGTCTGTCGTGAGATTAAAACTTTTAGAAAAGTCCGGGTATTGTAAAATGGGATCATTCATTAATAGATTTTTACATTGATCAAAACATGAAATAAATTCTTCATTATGTTCGATTTTGGCATCTTTTTTTAAGCATTTGGTAAGAGGTTTAGTAATTTTGGCAAAGTTATTAATAAAACGTCTATAGTATCCAAGGAGTCCAAAAACCTTTTATTTGTTTCGTAGTTTTTGGCAAAGGGAAATTTTAATGGCTTTAATTTTGTCTGGATTTGGTTTCACGCCGCTTGGGGTAACAATATGGCCTAAATATGCTACTTCCTTGCGTAAAAATTCCGATTTATCAAGTTGTATTTTAAAATTAGAATCTCGAAGTCTTTGAAATACTGTGCGTAACCTATCAATATGTTCTTGTAACGAAGTTGAAAAAACTATTATGTCGTCTAAGTATGTTAAGCATTTTTCATTCTGAATACCTCGTAGTATATTATCCATAATACGTTGAAAAGTTGCCGGGCATTCTTTAGTCCGAATGGCATACGAAGATACTCATAATGACCGTTTTCTGTGTTAAACGCGGTTTTTTCTATATCTTTTTGGTCCATTTCAATTTGGTGGAATCCGCTGGCTAAATCTAGTGTAGTGAAATACTGACACTTGCCTAATTTGTCTAAGAGATCGTTTATGCTGGGTAATGGATATTTGCCATTAATAGTTTTCTCGTTCAATTTTCTATAATCTACAACAACACGCCACTTCTGTTTGCCTGAAGCGTCACTCTTTTTAGGGACTACCCAAATAGGGGATGACCATGGCGAATTGCTGGGTCGGATTATATTTTGATCTAACATTTTTTTAACTTGATTTTGAACTTCTTGACGGTGAACATAAGGATATTTATAGGATTTGGAATAGATAGGAATTTCATCATTAGTACGTATTTGGTGTTTGATTTTGCTAGTGAAAGTTAAGGTAAATTTTCGTCATAAAAATATCCGGAAAATTCGTTACATAATTTTAAAATACTATTTCTTTCTTCTTTATTTAAATGGTCAATACGAAATTTGGAGAAATTTAATTTTCTTTTTGTTTTCTTTCGGCGTTAAAATTATTAAGATTAAATTGTTGTAGGTCATTAACATTAAATGTTTCGACATGTATCGGCTGTGTAAGATCTAGAGTTACATTTTTCGTACTGCTATTAAGAATGGTCGTCACTGCTTCGCCGTTTTGCGCTGTTGCAAGACTTTCTGGTATTTCGCAGTTTCTAAGCTTTTGATACGGTATTATTATATCGCCGTTTTCGATATTAGTTTTTATTTTTATTATTTGTTCAGATCTAGGAGAAACATTAATTAAATTTGTATCGCTTCCTACAGAATGATAACAAAGTTTAATTTTTGAAGATGGAGTAATTAAATATCCATCGTCGAAATTTAAATTAGCCTGGAGAATTTTTAAATTGTCTATCCCTAGTAGACCGTGAAAAACGTTGTGGAATTTAAAAAGGAAAAATTTAAGTTCTTTTTGTTTTGGTAACTTAAATATTTTTGATGTTGGTAATGTCGCGCTAAATTTGTGAGAAGATTTTGGAAAACAGTTGAAACTACAAAAGGATCATATTTAATTAAATTTGGAAAATAATTTTGGCAATTTCTGGGTCAATAAAAGATTTTGTTGATCCGGAATCGATTAATATTTTATATTAAATTCAGGAAATATTATATATGGTAGTTCGCTGTAATTTACTGCGTTAAAATATATTTTGGTGGTTCTTGCTCTAAGTTTGGTCTTTGGTTTGAGGCTGGGTAGAAAAAATTTTCCTCGTAATAATTTTCTTCCGTATAATTTTCGTCTTGTTCGAACATTTCAGGTTGTTCAAAATATTCGTGACTAGTAGAAGGTATTTCGCTATAATCGATAGATTGATTTTGATTTATTTGGTCAGAATTATTTGTTTCCGTATTAAATAGTTCTTCCGAGATGAAATTTCGAGGACCTGTGGCTTGGAAAATGTTTTTTATAGGAGGTTGATATTGTCTATAATTATGCGAGGTGTTTCTAGTCGAAACGCTCATTGGAGTTGGTTTAGGGAATGTCTGATTTGGATTGGGTTTAAAAACGTTGACATTTTTTTGTGGTTGGGGTTGTTTAAATACTTCAGAATTAGTAAAGAATTTTTGTGGTTTCGGATTAGGTCTAGGTTGAATATTTATAGGCTGTGAGGGAAAGTTTGGCTGCTGCCGGAAAAAGTTGTTAGGGGTTGTATTAGAATTAAATTGGTTATTAAAATTAGAATGTTTTGGCTGAACAAAATTTTTATTTTGATTATTTTGAGGTTGATTTGAACGATAGGAGAAATTTTGGAAATAATTAACGTTATTTTCTTGTGTAACAAATTGCATTGCCTCGTTTAAACTGTTAGGTTTCATGCACCTAATAGTAGTCGCTAGTGGTTCTTTTAACCCTGACAAAAATGTTCTTAAAGCTAGGTTATTGTATAGATTTCTTTTTAAAATTTTCGATTCATTGGTAATTTCATGTGCGTCTATATAGCTACATAAAAGGTTAAGAATGTTTAAAACTCGATCGTAAAAAATTTGTGGTTTTTCTTGCGGTTGTTGTCTCATCATAACCAGATCACGATTCAAGCAACTTTCGTCTCTCTGATCACCAAAATTATTTAATAAAGTTTGCTTTAACTCTTCCCAAGTCGAGCAGTTTTGTATGTTTACAACTAATTTGGCATTTCCCGTTAATTTGGAAATCAAAGAATTCAACAAATAAGTGTTATGAAAATTTTGTGGATTTTCTCTGTCGTAAAAGTTTAGTATCAAAGAATCACAAACTTGTATATATCTGTTTAAATCATTTGCGTTGCCATCAAACTGTGGTACGCAGCTCAAATATTCAGTTTTAAATTGAGAAGGCATTTTTAAATTATTTTGATTATTACTATTATTAAAATTACTAAAATTATTTTGAGTCAGATCGATTTCCGCTTCACTACTTGCAAAACTTAGGTCAAGACTTGAGTCAGTTAAAGGGTTATCGTTTTCAATCGATAAGTTTTCAAATATATCTGATAAATTTTCTATATTCATTTGAATTGCACTTACATTAAAAAGACGACTGCTATCTTCATCTTTTCTATAAGGCTGCAGGCTGGTTTCGCTATTTTGTCTCCGCCAGTCCAACGTCCTTGCAAAATTGGGCAATGTGGGTCCCAATTCTCGATAAATCGTTGTGGAATCGTTGTCTTCTTGTTCGCGATGAATGGATTTCTTGAAACCTCTCAGGAAAACTGTCCGATTACACTCCGAAATATCTCGACACTTTCAGTTAATTGGTGAAACAAAAATCACTCGTTCGATACGATAATGACCCGAAAGTATCCTACCGACTGCGCCAGTTTTGGTTTCTTAAAACTAAAATTACTTTTTAAAAAAATTTATTTTTACTGAACTACAAGTTAACAGTGTGAAGGCTCGAATCTGACTGCCTGAGAATAACGGTTGAGTTCCCAAGGAAGGAACTGCTGACGCTGACGCTTGGGATGACGGGGTCCGCTAGGTGGGCTGCTCCCATAAGGATCTGCACTGGACCATCATATAATTCATGCGACAAGTGGAGCGTATACAGAAGGAATATCGAGGAGGAAATTGAAGGACAACTATCCCCTGATAACATCGTCCAAAAAATGCATCAGAGCCCTGAAAACTGGAACCGCATATCAAGGTATGTGGAAAAGATACTGAGGGAAAAGAAAAGCGACCTGGACAACCGTTGATACCATAAACAGAAGCGAGCCCGAGGGCGATAAAAAAACGGACTAGGCTCGAAGTAATATGCTAAACGGTCCCGAACTAGAGTCCAAGACATAAAAGGAGGTATTTTAGTCGGTATTTATTAAGAGAGTCCGATATGCGTAAATTGCATTCACACCTCCTTACCAAAAAAAAAGGTATCGAGTAACTACTCTTGCAGTATGAGGCCTGGCATCTCTTTATCGTTCAGCATTTATTATGCCGTCGAGAAACACATGCAAGTCCGTACGCCCATTTAAAGTTATGCCACCCCATACCATGAAGGTATCTCCACCAAAATGAATCGCTTCTCTGACTGTTGTGTCCAGATACCGTTCATTCGGTTTTCTGTATATACCCTCCGCCGGGCATCATTATGACGTCGAAAACAGGACTCGTCCGTCCACTGATCCACGCCTCTGTGAAGACGTTCTTGAGCAATTATCCTTTGTCACCTACGATGATTAGCAATTAAATTTGGCACAACAGCTGCTCGCCTTGATCGAATGTTAACTTCATGCACCCTATTTCTTACAGTCTGAGTTAAAATTCGAGTTCCTGTGGCGATCGAAAGAAGAGTTTGTAGGTTTTTTGGGGTAAGTGTTCTTTCACGAAGAGCGGTTTGAAAAAGATACCGATCTTCCCGCTTCTTTGTCCGCCTTACTCGTTAATGATACGGTCTGCGGACAACAAAATTCTCTGTGTCGATTCCATAGTCTGGAAATGACCGATTGTGTAATATGAAAAAGCTCCGACACGTATCCTTACGACAGACCCTCCTGCAATAAAGTTGTGGCTCTGAAGACTTCTTCAGTATTTAAACGTTTTCTAACACCGTTTGGTCTTTCTAAAACATTAAAATTTGCCAAACTTAAAACCAATTTTGACGATCAAGAAGGCAAAATCACATTAAATAAGAAACTGATTTTATGGAATTTATGCGTCTTCGCGAGTGCGTAAAAACAACTTTTTATGACGGAAAAAAATTGTTTTTTATCAATTTATGCATGAAAAAACACAAAAAAATGATTTTTTGCTATAAATATACGAAGATCGGTCTATAAACATAGTAAATACAGATACACATATATGTGATCCCTAATTCGTTTTGATTAGTTTATATAATTTAATTTTATGAAATACTATTTTAATCATTTGCTGATGATGCACAAGGTTGACGAAACACGCATCTAGTGCAAAAATGAAGTGTTTTGATGTATTGTGGTGAATTAGTGTTGTATTTTGCTGTTGTTAATACGAAAGGTTCCAACCCTCAACTGCAATAAGTGTCTCTAGTAAAAATCTATTAAAACACACAAGACTTGCATCAAGACCAAGATCAAAACTGGACCCTGCAATTTCATTTGCTCATCACTATCCACAACTATACAAATTAATCGAATTTGTTTGACTACTGGTGGTAGCTGGCATACTGGCACAATCACTAACCTAACCACCAGTAGCTGGCTTACTGGCACAATCACTAATCTAACAAAGGTTGGTGAAAAATAATAAAAACAGCAAATTTTCAAGGTGACGAAATTGCAAAAAGCATCAATTTTTTTACACATAATTTGGATACAAAAATATCTAGTAATTTTGACTTAAAAATGATATATAATGTTTATTTCTTTTACAAGCATACTACTATTTTTATGTTTATATCATTTATACCAAATCAAGTACCTGACTTTGGAGTCAGAAATTTATTAAAAACCTATTTGACGTACCTACTTAGGTATGTACAGGCTGTTTCCAAAGTAGAAAAATTCAAGGTGTGATGCATCTCTTGTTTTTAAGAAAACAAATTTATACAAATATGGGGTCTAAAAGTACTTCATTTCTGGTCTACAGTGTGTTAAAAATTAAAAAAAAAACAATGGATTTTTTTCTAAATATGTCGTAAACTACGTCGTTGTTTCCAGGTGTCGATACTCATTTTTCTACTTAAACCAGTGGCATCGCACTGTGGTTCCACAAATGGACAAAATTCGCCAAAATCAATAACATAATTTTTTTGTAAAACCATTATATATTGTGTTAGAATTAGTTACTTTATTATTACTTTGACATTAGTAATACAAAATTATCGAAAAATTAGGCCTTTCAAATATGTTTCCCGCCTTTTCCCGAAATGATTTCCATAGTGTCAAGTAGATACATGCCTTGACCTATTATAGGACAAATATTAGTGTGCAGTTTTTGCTACTCCCTTTTTAATTAAGATCTGAAGTAACTGAGGTATTGCAAAATAAGGCTTAAAAATTCCGTTCCTTTCAGCTACATCATATCGATGTTCATTGGATAGAACGGGTATTTTTGAGATATGGTTGGCAAAGGCTGGGTCTGTTTCAACAAAATCAAAACAAATATTTAGTAATTTATTAGAACAGTTACCTGACGCTGAAAATTTGAATTGTGCTAATTTGGAAAAGAAAATTTTTTATTTGTGCAAAAAAATAGCAGAAAATTGGGCAAAAGCCAGGCGCAACAAAGATTTTTTTCTAAAAACAAATTCTAATTGGTTAATAAAGACCGATGATATCTTCGTTAACATACAGGTGTCCAAATTAACCCAAGTCAACAAACCATCTACTCGTACATGCGGAAGACCAAAGAAAAACTTTGATGAGTGTTGTCGACGGTCACAACAGAGAAAACTGTCGCAAATTTCTGTCATCGATAACTCCTTGGTAACTATATTACGAAGGCCTTCATCTAACGTTAATTACAAGAAAGTTGATGCCGATGAAGTCTTATCTCTTCTAGTTGAAGCTAAACTGACTAAACACCAGTATATATTGTTAAGAAATTTTATTAATTCTAAAATAAATAATATGTTTCCTTCGTATCAAAAAGTTTGAAAAAAGTCCAAGAAAAAGTGCTACCCCAGTGAAGATTACATTAAAATTACCGAATCATCTGCTGAGATAGAGTTACAAAACTTACTCGATCATACAGCAAGCAGAATATGGTCATCACAACAAGAGGTGATAAACTCTACTTCAGACAATCAAGACCAAAATTTGGTTTTGTTTGGAAAATGGGGATTTGACGGTAGTAGTGGTCACTCAGAATACAAGCAATCTTTTCAAGATCCAACATTCCAAGACGGAAGTTTATTTGTGACTTCATATTTACCACTTCGTCTTGTTTTTGAAGATAACCCTGAAAAAATAGTGTGGAAAAACCCCCGAACCTCCTCTACACGTTATTGTAGACCGCTTAGATTCCAATTTAAAAAAGAAACTAAAGAAGCAGCTCTTAACGAAGAAAAATACTTTACAGAAAAAATTAATTCCCTGAAGCCCACAGTAGTTTCATTTAATGACAAGAACTATTCCATAAAGCACAAACTGCAGCTTACTATGGTGGACGGGAAGATTTGTAGCAGTTTAACGGAATCGTCTTCAGCCAGATGTTATATATGTGGTTCAAGTCCCAAAGAAATGAACGATATTGATTTGTGCCTTCAAAAACAAGTTCGCCCAGAAACATTTGAATTTGGCTTGTCACCTTTACATTCGTATATACGATTCTTATTTTTATTATTATATTTTATTAATATTTTTTACATCTTTCATATAGATTAAATTTAAAAAACTGGCAAATACGGCCTAAAGAAGAAAAGCAACTTTTTTCTGAAAGGAAAGGCCAGATTCAATCTGACTTTAGAAATAAATTAGGATTGATAGTGGATAAGCCAAAATGTGGAGGAAGCGGTACTTCCAATGACGGAAATACCGCAAGAAAATTCTTTAAACAATTAGATGAATCCTCTGAAATTACAGGTTTAAGCAAGAGTCTTCTAGAAAGATGTTCTGTAATTTTAAGGTGCAGTTTATCAGGATTCAAAATTAATATTATAAAGTTTAAAGAATTTTCTTTAAGTACGGCTCGGTTACTGGTGGCTGAATATCCCTGGTATAATCTTCCCCCTTCAATCCACAAGGTACTTATACATGGTCCTGATGTAATAGAAAGCGCCATATTACCCATTGGAGAATTATCAGAAGAAGCTGCTGAGGCCAAAAATAAAGAGTATAAATTATTTCGACTAAATCATACTCGAAAAATGTCTCGTACAAAGTGTAATATGGATCTTTTAAATAGACTCTTACTTAGTTCAGATCCCTTAGTAACAGAATTAAGGAAATTGCCGCCAAAAAATAAAAATAGCTGTCCTAAGGCAGTACTAGATTTGTTAGATGAATAGTATATAAAATTTTGTTGTTTGTTGTTATTTAAGTATTAATATTTCCTCTTTAAATTTGATAGTTGAATAACCTATACCCCTATATACCTATATTCATACTAAAATTTAAAAAAATCCATGATGTAATTCGATTTCTCTTATTTTCGATTTTATTGTTGTCATTTTAGTATTTGTTAAAATTGTTATAAATAACCAAAGCATATAATTACAATATACCTAATATAAATAAAATGTATTTTAGTATAGTTTTTTTTTATTAAACAGTAGAAAGGAAGCAATATTAAAAAATTATCAATTCTAAACTCTATTATCTAATTTCATTCTAACGGGGTAGTAGGACATCTGTTAATTAACTTTATAGTATTTTTTTACAAATTTGTACATATAATTGAAATAATTGATTTTTGTCACCGCTTAACATATACATGGAACCACTGTGCATCGGTATGTACACACCCCTAGATTATTTAATTCAAATAAATGATACGGTACTGCTTTTTTCGAGAAATCATTTTTTTTACTGTCCATCTTTTTTAACAAGATTAATCTCTTGAGTTTTTCTTGTACAGGGTGTGCCAAATTGGACGCTTTTAAAAGGAAACACCCTTTTCTATAAGGGATAGACGAAAACTAATATCGGTGTCTGGAGCTCAATTCTTATCAAAAACGTGAAGGTGAAAACCGCACATCGATATCTGTTACCGTCTATGAGTTACGAGGTAAATGGAAACACCCTTTTTTATAGGAGATAGACGAAAACTAATATCGGTGTCTGGAGCTCAATTTTCATCAAAAACATGATGGTGAAAACCGCACATCAATATCTGTTACCGTTTCGGAGTTACGGGGTGTTTTTAAAAATATGCAATTTTTGACAAATCACTGTAACTTTTTTGCTATGGAAAATTTTGTATTTTTATGAAAATATTTCCTAAGCATCTTTTTACGTAGAATTTAATGATTTAAGTGTATTTTTTTTAAATTAATAATTTAAGAATTATCAAAAGAAAATTTGATTTTTTATATTTTTTATAACACCCTGTATGTTTAAATTCATTAAAAATAATTTAAAATTACCTTTCCAAAAATATACCACACTTGATATTTTGCTCGATTCCTCTTCGAGATATAGAGTTTATAAAAATTCGCCCACTTTGAATAAGTAGGCTTTGAACGGCGCCGGCTGTAATGCAAAAAAAATCTAGCTGTGACAAGCTATTAAAACGAAAATAATATTTGCAATGAGAGATGCAGAATTTTATAATAATTTAAACTATATTTAAGAACATCAACACACTTAAACTATATCTAATAACTATAAAAATAAATAGCAAACCATGACATGAGGTTTTGCTACATGTGTTATGGACAGACGGGACCGTTTTTAAAATTTATCGCGGAACTTTTTAACTGAGTGGGGATGAAAGATACCCTCGCATAACCGCCAAGTACTTCTAATTCTTGTCTAGATTATATGGGCAATTCAAAAATAAGTACCTTTATTCTTCCGCAAAGTAAAAATCCATAGGCACTAAGTCCGGCGACCTCGACGGTCAACCGCTGGGATTTTGGTTAGCTGTTTAATTATTTTCGAAATTGGCTGCAAAAATTTTCTGATAACTTCAGCGTTCAGAGGCGGTACCTCGTCGCGCTGGAAAAATCTGTTTTCGAGATCCAGTAGGGGCAGATCATCAATAAAGGGTCTAAAGCCTACTTGTTAAAAGTGGCGAACTTTTAAAAATTCTATATTTCGAAGGTGACTATAACAAAATATCAAGTGTGCTATATATTTTTGGAAATGCAATTTTAAGTTATTTTCACTTAATTAAAAATATACAGGGTGTCCCAAGTATAAAATCATTTTTTCTGTTGTTAACTCTTAAATTATTATTTAAAAAAAATATACTTAAACAATTAAATTCTACGTAAAAAGGTGTTTTAGAAATGTTTTCACAAAATACAAAATTTTCCATAGCAAAAAAGTTACAGCGATTTGTTAGAAATGCACAAAAATTGAGCTCCAGACACCGATATGTTTGATATGATAGTTTTCGTCTAACTCCTATGAAAGAGGCGTTTCCCTTTAAAAGCGCCCAATTTGACCCACCCTGTAAATCGAACGTTTTTCGAGAAAATAAATCAATTACATTGCAAATCTCCCAGCCTCCTAATATCTCGGCCTAATATTTTTTTTCTCGAAAACCGTTAAATGTACAAGAAAACTCGAGAGATCAATTTTGTTGAAAATGTATATGATTATTAAGAAATTAATAATGTTAATTTTTTTTCAATTTCTACAAATTTGATGTACCTACTTTTAACAAGGATTTAAAACAGGATATCTCTAAAAGTCCTTTAGTTAAGTGTCGTTTTTAAAATCAATCTATCACGAGTCGAGTCAATAAGTGGATGAGCAGTGGATCAGCAGAAATAAAATAAACAAGATACATAAGTAGTGCGTACATTTTCTGATAAGAAAGCACTTAAAATAATATAGTATTATTTAGACATATAACAAACATCTCAAATTTTAATAACTGTAATGGGAAATTTTTCAATTTTATGATTTCAACAAATATCTGTGAAGTTATAATAACACAGCCACACAAAAAAAGTGGTCTTTGCTTTTTACCAGACGATCATATCCTATAGTATTTTTCGAGGCGCTGAACACGAATCCGCTATCAGAATTACGCCATCACATCTCATTTTTTTTCTAACCTCAAAAACTTGGTGTAATTTCGTAAAAATTCAGGAAGATGTAGTAGGAAAAAAATCATAAAAATTTGAAAAATGTAAAACCAAGTCAGTTTAGTTTCTATGGAAGCACCCATTCAACAGTTTTGTTATAAATTATTAGTATCAATATTACACATCCTTATCTCTGTAATAATTATAACGACTTGGCAATTGCACGGTATGATATTCTACTAATTAAAATACTTTATTCTTATAAGTGCACTGTTTAAATTTACTTAGTAATCGAAATGGTAGATTATTCTTTTATAATTATGGTGCCGTGGAATTACCAAGTCATTATAATTATTAGATACAGAAATGAAGATATCTAATATTGATAATATTAAAGAAGTTTGACTAGCTACAATTCATAAACTTTAAATTATTGTTGTTATTTGGATATCCAAATAAAATCAGACAATTATCAAATCGATTAAATTCTAGTTTTCTAACTTTTTTATACCTGCACTTGTTATTTTAACCCTATTTTCATGAATTTTTAGCAAGCTTTATATAATTACTAGCGTGTACCCGCGACTTCGTTCGCATCGAATTAATCATTATTTGTAATGGTGATGATAAAGCAAAGCAAGAATTTCCTGTATGATTTTTTAAAAAATTTCAAAATATGTAAAAAACAAAATAAATTATGCGTGTCCAAGCGTTTTTCCGAAAGACTAACCGTTTTTTAAATAACAAATATTGTAATATTTGAGGGGCGTTTGCACCCTCTTGGAATTTGAGATTCGAGAAACCCCTCCTTATCGAACCTCTACACCCCACAGCAGGGCCGTATCTTGACCAAAATTTCGGGGGGGCTCAAAAGCTACTAGGAAAAAAGCATAATAAAAAAATCGCTTTGGGCTACACTCAAATTTTAATTGAAAATAAAACTTTAAAAAAGTAACAGGTAAAAATCATGAATTTTAAAGGATAAACTGCACGTGTCTAGTCTTTTCCCTGGAAAAACGATTGACTACCTCTTCTATATCAACATTTATTTCTCTATGTACGCTTAATAGACAAAAGCAATTGAGCAAGTCCTGTCAATCGCTCCTGACCTGTAGAGTTACGTAGGAAGTCCTTCAATCGTCTTAGGGTTGAAAAGACCTTTCTGGTGTAGCTGTTGACACTGGTAGAGTTGCTAGGATCTTCAATAAAATGTATATATTTGGATATATACACTGGTTACACTCCGATATCGTTTCGATGGCGTTTTTAGGTCGGTCGACTGCAGATAGCTGCTTCCATTTCTGCCGCCACAAATCTAGTTCTGCCGCTAAAGTGTCATAGTCCAAAAATTGTTTGTATAGGGAAAGGTCCTCTAGTTCCACTTTGTGTACAACACATACATTTGGTAATAAGCAATGTATAGAGGACAATGATTTTTTGTGCTTCGCAAATCGTTCAGTCAACTGATGTATGAACTCGTCCAAAAAAGGAATTGCAACTGTAATTCGAAAATGTTCCTCTGGGCTGGCTACCATGATGTTAGAACGATTTTTCTGACGTGCAACTATTCTCGGAATTTGAATATGCTCTTGTGCATCTATTGATTTTAATAGTTTTTCGGCTTTTTCAAAAATGTTGCTGAACACTTGATCTATGTTATCTCTCATACTTTTAAGTTGACTTAAAACAGTATCAACATGTTCCGTTGCTGAAAAGAGATCGATGTTAACTGTCTGAAGAATTCTGCATAAAGGTAGGGTATATGCGAATAAAGTAGTTGCGGTTAACATGCTGATAATAAAGTCACTGGTCATAATGGCACGATGTAACTGTATAGCCTTTGATGACGTCTCTATATCTTTCACTACTTGTAGTTCTTCCAGTGTTTCAACAATAGGCTTGAAAATTTCTGTGAACCTAATTAATCCGTCGTGATTTTCCACCCATCGAGTTTCACACATGGTTGTCAACTTCTTCCATTTATTATCAGGGGCATGTTCTTTAATTTTATTTTGTAGAATATCAGTCCGCTTTGCTGACATTTTTATGAAGATTGCAACGGATTTGATGGTTCCAATACAATTTCTGACGCTTTGGACATTGCAGCAGTGAGCCAGAGCTAAATTTAGAGAATGTGCACTACAATGCACGTATAATGCTGCTGGGTGTTTTTCTCTTATTATTGCTTGTACGCCTTTAAAGCTGCCGCTCATGGCTGCAGCCCCATCATAACCTTGCCCAACCAAATAAGTACAATCTATCTTGAGTTCTTCTAAACACTCTAACATTACCGTCGCTAAATCATTCCCAGTTGTACTATGAACTTGCACAAATTGTAGAAAATCTTCACGCATAATATAGACTGGATTGCCGTTCTGCTCATTGGAGTCAATGTACCTCACACAAAGGGATAACTGCTCGATCCGGGAAATATCCGTAGTCTCATCCATCAAAATTGAAAAATATTTGGATTTATTTATTCTGGAAACAATTTGTTCTTGTATCATTTTTCCGCAAATTTGAATTATATTATTTTGAATGATTGGACTTATATACATGGCATTTAAAGATTGACCTTCAATGTGCTCAATCAAATCTTTATCCCCACATGATAGGCGCATACGCAGTAATGCCCGGAAATTCCCATCATTATAAACAGGCTCTATGGAATTTAAAGTCAATGGACCAGAATCGTTAGTTCCACGTAGAGCCAACTCTTGGCATCCACAGAGTATAATAGTCTTGATTATAGGTTTTAATTTTTTTCTATTGTCCGCTATTTGTTTTGCACGACTAGAGTCAAGTTGCATCACAATATCTGGGGCCGATCTGTTAAAGTGGCTACAAAATTATCAGCGAAGACGGTACTCTTCTTATGATAGTCAGTATTACTATGATGCACGAATGTCTCTATGGCGTCCTTCCAGTTATTGAAGGGTTTTACAACCAAGGCAAACAACTTTTGGTGACTACCTTTGCCACTAAATTCAGACGCAAATATTGCGCAGTACTTACACACTGCACCTTGATCACCATGAGCAGTGTAACTAAGCCACGGAAAACGTTTTAGCCAACCTATTTGAAATTTTAGGTTCCTTTTCTTTGAAACAGGAAAATTATTTTTTTCATCTGGAACCCACGGAGAGGTCAAAAGTCTAAATTTTACTCCGTTATCTAGTTTTTCAGTATAACAGCTGCCGATATCTGAGTTATCAAATTTGGTTTGATTCCTTGTATTTACTTCTATCAGAGTCTGAATAGAATTTGGTGCAACTTCTAAAGCGGGAGTATCTGTACAAATTGCTTGGCTAGAACTAGCAGCTTCTTCGGTAGATTCAGAAGAAATTTTGCTTTTTTTACAAAAAAAATCCGTCAGTGAACTCTGGACATTACGTTTTGCCATTTTAAATTCTACAAGCAATAAAAGTGCGCTATTAGGAAAATATAAAATATTTGGCTTTGCATCATTGTACAGTGGCGGCTGCTGCTGAATTGGTATAATGAGAAATTTAAGTAAAAACGTATAAAGTAAAAATTCATATTAAACTGAATATCGACATCGAACATCGACATCATCTGCCGATAATGTACTCGTTAGGTTACACGAGAGAAACAAAGACAGTAGATTAGAACTATAGTTAAACTAACGCTTCGTCCTACGTGGGAGACCAAAGCGCGCGATTTGGGCGGTGCGAGCGACGCGTATTTATCAAATAACGTTTTCTTAAGCCGCGAACGCATACGGCCGCATCGCTTAGAACGAACGAATTTGGGAAATGTGTACGTAGCAACGAACGCATACATTCGCGTGCGGTTACGTTCGCTGACTTGGCGGTACTTCAAAGGGAATACTACCGCACGCAAACAGATGTATGATGCGTTCACTAGGTGTGTACGTAACAGCGAACAGCGAAAAAATACTTCAAACAAAATCACGGCATGTGTGCGGATTTGGTCGAACCTATGCGTTCGCTAGGTGTGTACGCGGCTTTACGAAGCTGACCTAGGTAGGAGAGTCGCGCGACTGAAGCGGCATCGCAGGCAATTTAAATATGTCGCGCTAGTCGCGCTCATCGCCCTCTGTTGTCGCACGCGTCGCTCGTTCGCTTTTGTCGCCCACGTAGGACGAAGCCTAAAACTACCTGAAACTATACCCATACTATCAAGAATGTACATATTACCTCACAAACGGCAAAAACCGCTATCATAAAACAAAATACCAATTCACTCACCTTCTATGAATAGCAGAACAATAACAAACGTTAGTCACGTTAATGACCAGCAAAACACACAACATTCAAAATTTTGACCTTATCAAACTTTTGCTGTTTTAAACACTTGAAAGTTGAAAGTCGAAAATGACATTTGCTGTCAAAGTGGAAAAGTGAAGTTAGGCATAGAGAAAGTAATAAAAAGAGAGATGCAGATTGCATAGTAAAAATTGGAATCGCATTCACTAGCGCTGCTGTGACAACAGGACAAACTAATTTAAAAAAATTTGGCGATTGCGCCGGAGAATATATATAAGCTTGCTTTACTTTATTTGAAACTTTTATTGAAGTTTGACTTTATCTTCTTCTTCGTTGACTTTATCTTCTTCTTCTTCTTTTTTTCTTTCGTTCTTACTTACTTAATGATCATTACTTTTTAAAAAATTTCGGTCATAATTTCGGGGGGGTTTGAACCCCCAACCCCCCCCTTCCCCGATACGGCCCTGCCCCACAGTCAATCCGTTTGCCAAAAATCAGCTTTAAACGTCAAGCAGTTTAAGCAGAATCGTGATTACTCAATGGTCATATTCTATACCCCTGTATAAATTTTTAAAAAATCTTAAAATATGTAAAACAACAAAATATAATATAAGTGTTTAAGAGTTTTTCCGAAAAACTCACCGGTCTTTAAATAAAAAACATTCTAATATTTGAGTTCATCCCCTTAGAATTCGAGTTTCGAAAAGTCAAACCCTAAAGTCAGTCCGTTTTCCAAAAATCAGCTTTTTACGTCAGTAACGCTTTTTATGTATGTATCAGTAACGCTTTTTACGTATCTTTTTACGTACGTATCAGCGCTTTAAGCAGGATCGTGATTAATCAATGACCAGATTTTTCGAAACATCGTGTATACATTTTTAAAAAATCTTAAAATATGTAAAAAACAAAATAAAAAATGTGTTGGGGGTGGTTTCACCCCCTTGGAACTGGAATTTCGAAAAATCCCTTCTTATCGAACCTCTACACCCTAGAATCAACCTGTATGCCAAAATTGAGCTTCTTATGTTGAGTGGTTTGAGCAGGATTGTGATTAATCAGTGAGTCAGTCACTTAAGGATTTTATATATTAGTATAGATATTAACTTTATTTCGTAAACTCAGTTTTTTATAAACTTTAGTATTTGACATATTATACAGGGTTAACCGAAGGTGTTGTTTTTTTACCCTAGACCTATAAACTTTAAAAGACCTTGTACAATAATTTCTTGTGTAAATTTTTCTAAAATATAATTTTACGGTCAGAACCATGTCTCTTGAGCATTTTGTTTATTGGATCATGTCAATACATGCCTTGGTTAATTTTTAAGCGCGAAATGAACTTGTAAATGAACTGAATTTGCAATTTGTTCAATTAACATTTCTTTTTGAGTTATTTTTCAATATGAAAAGTCGGCTTTGGTGATTATTGTAAACTATATACCACTATGAACTGCCGATCATATTCGACGTTTGGGAAACTGGCAGAAGGGTTAGAGGTCACGAAGCGGTACCAGCTTCATTAAATGAATTTCGCTTGGTTCTTAAAAAAGAATGGGAAAGCAGAACCGCAATATGATATATGTATATGCAGCCTCAATGACAGTATGAACGGACGCATATAGACAGTTATAGAAGCAAGCGAGGCTATACAAAGTATTGGGGTAATTTTTACATTTTTTTCTGTTTGTATACTTCAGTATATTACAGATGTTTTCTTTAATATCATTAGTTATGTTATCGTTATTAATGATTTATTAAAACCATGACTCTGTTGTTAGTCTTTAAATTTAGTAGAGAAATACCAAAACCATCTCGTTATATTAAAAAATTACATCAAAAAGGAATGATAATTTAAAAAATTGCAAATTGATCGTGATCAGGTCATTTCACACTTAAAAATTAACCAAAGCATGTATTGACATGAATCAAAAAACAAAATGCTCGGGAATCATGGTTCTAACTGTAAAATTATATTTTAGGAAAATTTACACACGAAATTATTGCACGGGGTGTTTTAGAGTTAGGGTAAAAAACAACCCCTCGATTAACCCTGTATAATATGCCAAATACGTTAAGTTTGTAAAAGTAAAATACAAAAGTTTATAAAAAAATTAGTTTCAAATGTAACTTTTCTTTTCGCACTTTTTTTAACGTTGTTTTGAGAGACCTTATTTCCTTGTAGTTTTGCTTCTAGCTCTTGCTTGTATGGAGACTCTGTGATTATTGCCGTTTTTCCACGATTTTTTGAGGACCGTTTTTTCACAGTAGATTTTGGCGAGGGTGAGATGTCTTCGGGAGTAATAGCAAATACAGCCACAGAGTTGTTACCAATATTTCTATGCGGTGTCATTTGCAAAACTTGTTCATCTTGATATGATGGGCCTGGCATTTGTATGGGATCAACGCTTCGTTGAGGTCTTGATCCTTGTAAAAGCTCAGTATCCTATTGTAGAGGTGGTGATCCTTTTGCATTCAACATATGAGATCCCGGCAACTCAGCATTACTGACTGTATCCTTATTTGTACCATTTAGATCTTGAATATGTGGATTTTCATTGTCGATGTCCATTACTGAAGCAGCGATGAAATCGCTTTCTTCGTCGAATACGTCACGATTTGTAGGCCATATACCCGTAGCTTTAAAAGAATTCATAGCGATTTTTATAGTGGCCGCTTTATAGAAAGCTTCAGCAAATAAACCAGCAATATCTTCTTGAGCGACGACTCGACCCGGATGAACTCGGAGCCATTTCTTTACCTCTTCTGAGTAGTACGTACTTAGAGGCTTCATAAAACCTACATCTAAAGGCTGCAGCCTGTGAGTACAGTGCGGCGGGAAGCACAAGATAACAACCCCATTATCCCGTGCATAGTCTATAACTTTGATATTTTTGGTGTGGGACATATGGCCATCCAACAGAAGCAACACCATATTTTCTTTAGACGCGCGAGACCAAGAAACAAATTTCTTGAACCATTCAAAAAATATATCTAACTGCATCCAACCGGTCTTGTGGCACATAGCTGTGGAATTTGGCGGTGCATTATCTAGCAGACAATCTTTCATACGAACACGAGGAAAAATAAACATTGGTGGCATAAAATTGCCAGAGGCACTCATACAAATTTCTATTGTTACTGTTTTTCCTCGCTCGGCACTGGTTATGCTTCCGATCTGTTTTTTCCCTTTTTGGGCAATTATCTTTGGATTACACTTTCCATCTGAAGAAATACCAGTCTCGTCACAGTTAAATATTCGATCGGGAGAAAAGTTATATTTATCAATAGTATTCTCCAACAATTTAAAAAATTTATTGACAACTACTGCATTAAACCCCATTGATCGGGCAACTGAGACAGATTCTGGAACTCTAATGCTTAAGTTGGGATTCCTATTCAAAAAACCTTTGAGTCAATCTACCCCAGCCAATTTTTCTTCCTTGTTAAAATTATGTCGAATTTTGTTTTTTTCCGCTAATTGGAAGGCAATGCTTCTAACTTCTTTTCCTGTTAAACCATGTAATAAAGACTCCATTCGTAAGATGTAAGAAACTAGTTCT